TTATCTTTTTAAACAATATAATTTGAATGCAACTAAATGAACTGTAAAAATGACTGGTACAAAGTACATTTGCAGATGGAAAAAATAATAAAACAAAATTACCTGTTCATCCGTTTTCGGTGGTATGATCAAAGGTTGTTGCCTTTCGTGATCAATTTTAGTTTTTTTTAGTTTTGATGCGTATGTATCTGATTTAACTTGAAGCTCTTGATTGTACTTTTTTACAACAATATGTTCATCCACAANCTTTGGTCGTCTAAATTCTAAATAAAATTATTTTCCAAACATAATCTTTTTAAACAATATAATTTTAATGCAACTAAATGAACTGTAAAAATGACTGGTACAAAGTACATTTGTAGATGGAAAAAAAATTAAAACAAAATTACCTGATCATCCGTTTTCGGTGGTATGATCGGAGGTAGTTGCCTTTCGAGATCAATTTTAGGTTTTTTTAGTTTTGATGCGTATGTATCTGATTTAACTTGAAGCTCTTGATTGTACGCTTTTACAACAATATGTTCATCCACAATTTGTGACGACACTGTGTGTTTAATATTATTACAGACATTAATCATTGTATTTTAACGGAATATTTGGGAGGAATTATCAATGAAATGAAAATATATTTATGGACAAAAACCAAATAATAAAAATAAAACGAAAAAAAAAATTTGAACGGTTTCTAGCATTACATGCATGCATTTATTTTAATTTAATAAAAGTGTATGCATTTATTTATTTTTTACATTTTATTGAATATGAAATTGCGGATTGCGTACTTTATGTTTGTTTAAAAACTATAATAATATCAAATCAAGTATAAGTATACCAAAAGAAATGAAATGAAATTAATTTATTTTTATAAATGTTGAAATAAAATTGTTGTGTAAGGTGACCATAAATTATAACCCTATTCAACTAATGATTAAATTAATGCAATAAAATCTGTATGTTTTAGATTACTATATTTAACATATCGGCTAATTTGAAAGTTTTAATGTGGATTGTATATTTCATTTTTGTTTATAAACTAATATAATATTTAATCAATTTTTTTTTGATTAACGGATTAAAAATAATAAAAATTGACACTGCATACTTGGAATAATAGTTCCACCAGAAGTGTCACTAGTGTGTTCATGCATGCATTGAACCTCACCGATGGTTTTCTTAACTGCGGGGATTTCTTTACGAGCAAACTTCTTGTGGTCTTTAGCAGTCTGCGTATATATAAAACAAATTAAAAACAATATTATGACACGAAACAAATTACAGGAAAAACAAAATAAATTTCCATATTCTCTTTGATTAAATACATTGTTTATAAACCGAATATCAAAATACCTGAATTTCAAGAGCTCGTAATTTTTGATTATCAAAATCCTCCATCAGCGTCTTGATTTCTTGGACGACTTTTTCTAAGTTTTGTTTAGGTCCAGTAATCTAAAATACAAACAAAAAATACAATAAAATTTTAGTTATATTTTGATTTTTATAATAAATGATCGTTGCAATAATTTATTTTGATCAAGTAACACACACAAAGAATTTAATGAATCTAATTAACTCATTACAAAAATATTATAGATTACAATTTTATTGCGCTTACCTTAATTGTATTCTTGTATTCGTCTCTGGTAGGGATTAAAATTTTTACCTTGTATTTATTACATAGATCCCGGACAGTGTTCCCGTTGAGGCCTATTATTGTTCTGCGGTATTTGACCGGTACTTCAAGCTAACAACAATAAATTATGTGAAAATAATTTTATTAAAATTTATTGAGGCCTTATCAAACATAACGCGTTGTTCACGCGCGTGAAAGCGTTATTATCGTTATTAACCGGAGATACTGGAGCCAAATCTTGATGAAGTTAAGATGATAATCAACTCCCTGAAGAACAACAAAGCTCCAGGGGAAGACAATATAACTCAGAACTTCTGAAGCTAGTAGGACCGTACATAGTAATACAGATACAGAAATTAATTGGAAGGATATGGGTTAATGAACAGATCCCTAAACACTAGAATACAGCGATCATCTGTCCAATCTTTAAAAAGTGAAACATGTCTAAAGTTGAAATTTATCGAGGTGTTTCACTGTTAGACACAAGTTATAAGATACTATCCCTCTCAGTGATAAAACGACTAGAAATATTCGCTAAAGACATAATTGGAGAATACCAGTGTGGATTTATAAAAGGGAAGTCAACAACAGACCCGATCTTTACTATCCGGAAAATAATGGAGAATAATTATGAACATGATAAGGACCTGTTCATGTTGTTTATAGACTTCAGACAAGCCTATAATAGTATCAACAGACAACAACAATGGACAGCGCTGAGGAATTTTGAAATCCCAGTATCGCTAGTCAGATTGATAGAAATATGCAATTCAAACACATACCTTAAATTACGGTACTAAGGGGAGCTGTCACAAAAATTTGAAGTCCAATCTGGATTAAAGCAGGGTGATACA